CGGCGGGCGAGATGTAACTGAACAGAGTGAGTATTCAAAATTATGCATCAGGCTTCCTTCGTTCGTGTAGCAATGGAGAGGAGAAGGGCGGCGGATCGGATGACTGAGCGAAACGGCGGCGGGAGCGGGTGAAGTCGGCGGTGGCCTGAGCGAGGAGACTGGAGGTGTGGCGTTGCAGGAACGACGGGCCGAGATTGTGGGGGGTGGGAGGAAGCACTGAGGCGGGGCGTGCTGGTCTGCCGGAGGAGAGGACTCGGCGGTGGGTTAAATCTCCGGCCCGTCGCTCCCCTGCAACCACACCTCCAGTCTCCGTCCGCTCAGGCCACCGCCGACTTCACCCGCCCCGCCGCCCGTTTGGCTCAGTCATCGATCCGCGCCCTTCTCCTCTCCATTGTAACGAACGAAGGGAAAGCCTTGGATCTGATTTGATTTGTTCAGACCCCTCCCCCTTCCTACTTATTTGTTGGGTTAGTTTGGTTCAGATCCGAACCGAACCAAGTGGGTTCAGATCTGTTTATTTTGGGTTCATTTGTATTGATCCGCATTCGTGATTGCTCGATTCCGTTGATCGTTGGTGTATGGCTGATCCTGATGCTGATGACGGACTCGTGCAAGATCCAGAGACCGGCATCGTAGATTTACAACTTTCCCCGTGGTTTGATTATCAGTCATTCGAGAGCGTGTCCGAGTACGTTGAGCGTGTGACTCATCAGATCGTTGACAACGTAGAGAGTAGCTTGGGAATCAGTTCGTGGCATCGGCGTTTCCATCCAGATACACCGCTCCACCCGAATTACGTCGCTCTCGGAGGAGAACTTCCTCCCCTCCTTTTTGGCTATACGAACCACCACCCGAGGAGCCTCCCGTCGAACCAGTTCAACCCGACGAAGGTTCAACTTTCTTTCGCCCAATTATTTTCGGAACTGCTATTGCTTGCATGTTGCTATCAATATTATTATCGATCGTATTTGTGCTGTATTAGCTTGATTAAGTGAGCGAGCGAATCTGTTGCTAAGTACTTTTACTTATCTAAATATTACAATTTGAACTGTATTGAGAGAACGAATCATTACATTTATTTTCTGGATTATTTACAAAAGATTTGAACTTAGTACATTGCAACTTTTGCTTAAAACCCATCGAAAGCTACACTTTATTCTTGAGCTTCCTGCCTAGATCGATCGCTGATTTGGCGAAGCATTGTTGTCGTTAATCTTCATACCTGCATCACATTGTTTCGCATCATGTTGGTTTTGTTTTGGTTTTGTTGTTTCTGATTTTTGTATTAGTTTTGTTTTTTGGTTTTGGTTTTGGTTTGGTATTCGGTTTTGGTCTTTGTTTGATTTTGGTTTGGCTTGGATTTGTTTTGGCTTGGTTTGGTTTTGCTTTGGTCTTGGTTTTGGGTTGGCTTGGTATTTGGTTTGCTATTGGCTTTGGTTTTTTATGTCTTTTGGCTTTGGTATCAGTTTTGTTTTAGGGTTTGGTTTGGTATTCGGTTGTGGTATTTGTTTGGTTTTGGTATTGGTTTGGTTTGGTTTTATTTCTGTTAGGTTTTTGTTTGCATGTCATGAGTCGCTTCATGTAATGTATCCAATTTTTGTACGTTGGTTCATTGATGTTGTGTATGCAAGTATTAAATTGTCTTTTTTATTCTGACTTTACCTCCTGATGTTCGACCATTTTGACTTGGCCATATGCACTTCTTGCTGGTTTATTCCTATACATATTTCGCAAAATTTTCAACACCTTCCACGGAGGCCCATGAACTTAAAATAGATTTAATACTCATACATGACATAATATCAATTTCAGTCCGTGTATTCTCCCCCAATTTCTAGTTTTTGATAATGAGACCCCCAAAAATTGTAACAGGTAGTTTTCTCTTAGATCCATTAATAACTATAGAATTTTGGAATCCGTTGAATTATGACTAATTAAGTCAAAGCCTCTCTTTTGATTTACTTGCCGTGCTTGAGTGGAATTGCCCCATCATTGATGTACACAGTGTAGGTTTCCTATCTCTTCCTTTGTATTTCTTGTAGAGTTCCATATTTCTTCTATCAAATATGATTATCAGCTAATGCACTTCTATTCGGCTTCATAGTTTTATTTTTTGTTTTAATGAATAAAATTGTTGAAATTACGTTTTCTAACTTTTTGTCTATTTCATGGTTACTCCTTAAGCAATATGCCTTTAGTGACTCATGAGTAGTGTGAACGTCATCAGATTAGATGTCAGAGATAAGCGTCGCTTCCCAGGTCGGAGAATGATGCTGCCAAATCTCATCTTTGTTAAACTAAGCTAGAATCATTGGCATATGTTTAGAAGACTTGTATAAGGTACATTCTTTTCTATTTTCTTGCTCAATTTTGTTATAGCTATGATTTTCATTGTGATATTGTATAACTGCTTCAACTCCTTTCTGATAGTTGATAACTGATTTAACTTCTACATATTATGTTTTGGCAGTAGGAAATTTTCATGACCTTCAACCATTCATGCCAAGGTTTTAGTTCCCTGCACTAACATATTAGCTAAAGAGTTACTCAAAATGTTTTTGCTGTTTGATCTGCTTTATTATCTTATACTTGAGCAATTATGGACAAGAAACAGGAAAAAGCGGAGGCTTCAGTGGCTCCTGAGTTCATAGGGCTTGGGGGAACAACTCAATGCATAAGATGTACCAGGTTTCTTCTCTCTCCATAAATCTGCAATTATGATCTATAGGTGATTCCATATCAAAACCACATTTGAAACTTCATGCCTCTGTGTGTATATATATAGACACACACACACACATGTACAGACACGTGTGTGTATATACACACGCACACATGTATGTATGTATGTATATGTGTGTGTACACACATACATATATACATGTATATGTGTGTGTACATATACACACATATGTACACACACATAGACATACATATTTATATGTGTGTGTGTGTGTATACATGTATATGTATACACACACACATATATACATATATGTATATATTTTTTTATATTTATATATACATATATATATGTATCTGTACGTATATGTATGTGTGTGTACATACATACATACATAGGTATATGTGTGTGTGTGTATGTACACACACGTGAGAGAGAGAGTGTGTGTATGTATGTATATATGCATGCATGTTTGTATGTATGTATATGCATATGTACACACACATATATACATACATACATACGTATGTATATGTATGTATGTGCACACACACACACACACACACACACACACACACACACACACACACACATATATATATATATATATATACACACACACACACACACACACACACACACACACACACACACACACACACACACACACATATATATATATATATATATATATATATATATATATATATATATATATACTATAGTATTTCATATCATATAGGTTACACACCCACATATATAGTACATACGTATGTATACCTGTATGTATGTGTACCACCGGCATCACACATATAAATAATTATATATGATGCGGAGAACCGAGCTGCCGCAGGTGTCTGACATGTGACCCACACACCGATGTGACTATAGCGCCACATTGTCATCGGACTGTCAGCTCACCGGGGGGAGAAGACGCTGCTAGCTCTTCTCCATTTTTCTGATATATACACACACACACACACACATATGTATGTGTATGTGTGTGTGTATGTATTTATGTGTATGTGTGTGTGTATATATATATATACACACACACATATATATATACAGCTCTTCTCCATTTTTCTGATATATATATATACACACACACACATGTATGTGTATGTGTGTGTGTGTGTATGTATGTATTTATGTGTGTCTGCGCGCGCGCGTGTGTGTATATACATGCATATGTATATGTATTAGGTATGTATGAATGTACACGCACGCGCGCGCACATATATATAGATGAGCTACTCTCCACTTGCGCGGATAGGATCATTTGTCCAGGTTTTTGTTGAAAAGTTTCTGTGAGAGATTCGATTAGCATGTGAGTTGCTTCTAATTGCGTGTGAGTTGCAAGGGTGTGAGTCCCACTTATCTTAAACCCTAGCTTTAATCCTATCCACATTAGACTCCTTATCAGTTCCGACCATTCATTTTGACCTTAATCCCTCACCAAAGTCCTTTGCCGTTGTTCCCTACGTGAAATATTTTCATGTGCCCTCAAACCAGAGAAGTGATTCTCTGTTCGTACACATCAACCACGATCACCAGCAACACCCTCGCCCTGCCCGCCTCCTCCATCTGGACCGTCTCTTTCAGACATTACAACTACATCAACCAGCCCTTGACTTGGTCTCCAGCAAGCCTAAACTTCAACCAAAAGACCCTGACAACTTCCTTTTGTTGCTGTTTGAAGATTACCGGCCATCAAGCGGTGACTACAAACCCTCAACACTTTGATTTTTCTCCATGCAGACCTATTATATGCATACAGTTTCTATTTGAGTGTTCTTTTTGGATTTGATTGTTGCCTGATGTTGTAGGTCTCTGGCAAAGATCAGAGTTATAGGATCCAGCTGTTTGATGATTCGTGAGAGATTCTTGACTAATCAGCAAGGAATCAATTAATTTTAGACGTGATTCAGTCCATGCGATTTTGGATTTGACATCCTCGCCCCTCGTTGAATTCTAACCATAATTATAATTTTCATTGATTAGTTTTTCATTGCTATAGATTGTTAGAAATTCATAATTACTATGATTATTAAGATAACTATAGATCTCATTGCTTGTTTGCTTGGATTCAAATTGCATTAATAACCCTTTAGCGTCTTCTCTTGCGTGAGAAGGGCTAGAAGATTGCAGTCTCTTCACAAGTGGGAGGTAACTTACAAATATAATTGGTTAAAAATTTTCATTTTCCTCATTGATTGTAAATCATGAGTTCAATTTTTGATGCAAGGTATGGGGACCTCTACTGCCCCACTGAAGTCTAAGAATGTTGACCGAAGGGAACACAAGAAGAAAATAAGAAAGGGGCCTGAAGGATGTCTACTATTTCGTCTCATCCCAGTAGTAACAGAGATATTTTTATCGAATGAAGCTATTTTATGAAAGTGTGTTGACTGTTGATTTAATTTTTCTGCTTTAGTGAATGAAGTTGTAGCTAATAGTGGTAATGTTGGTCCTCTAATATCCGGAGGACACTGTTAGAATTTAAAACTATAACTCTCAACCCCTCACCACAGCTAATAGTTGTAGCTAATAGTGATATTTTTATTTAATGCTTTGTTTGGATGTGGGTGAATGAGGGGTCGGGGGAGGAAGTTAAATGGATTAACTTTGTTTGAGCTTTTTTTTAAAGGGAATGGAGGGAAAAAGAAGTAACAAATTTTACATCTCCTAACCTCCATTCTATATAATTTGGTTAACCCTCAAATTAGGGTGTAGAGGAGGTGAATTTTTGTGGACCATCATCATGCTACAAATCCAACGACTAAGAAATGATTCGGCTCCATTCTCTTTGCTAAACTCCCAAACATAATTATTACATTTTTTTTCTCCCCTTCATTTCCGTTCCTTTACATTGTTTTCTCTTCCCTTATTTCCCTTCCCCTCCATTAGTAAACTCCCAACCATAGCATAAAAGACCGGGGGACTGGTACTGGAACAAACATTGATGCTGCACAAATGTAAGGACGAAGGTGGCCTGAGAAACAATGTTGGCAATCGTTTTACATTATGTTTTCATGCATGTGTTGAACCTTTTCTTAAATTTACTTCAATGTTATTGGTGGAGTACTTGCCATTTTTTAAATTTAATTCTATTGTCAATAACACTGCTATAGAGTGAGGAACTAGACAGAAGTTTGAATATGGTCACTTTTTACATATTTTTAAATTTAACTTCAGTGCTTTACACCAGTGTTATTGATGAAGTAATTGCCATCTTGGATAATGTGAGCATTTATTTTACATGAACATATTTTCATGCATGTGTTGCCATTTTAGACAGTTTGGATCATTGAGTTATGTCTATACTTAGGAAGTCTATAGCAAGTGAACCCTGTAATATGTAACATTTCACAAGTTTAGTAAATAAATATTGACCTGATTTTCTACCAGCTTGAAAGTAGTTTTTTTTTTTTTGGTCGTTTTTGCTTTCCTTTGATCTGCAGCAGGTGATATTGTCTAATTTACATCCTTCAACCTGCCGCGTCATCGTCAGTGGACTCGTTATGGTTACCTTCTGTCCAAGTTCACTGCCGAGTAATGCTTACAACCAAAAGGTATGTCATAGTATATTTTTATTTATCTTTTGTGATTATTTACAGATTATGTCATACTCTATTCTTAGTTACTTTATATAGGAAGATGAACTCTTTAATTACTTTCTTTTGCATTCCTTGTGTTATGATTCCGAACACTGGGATTGTATTAGTATCCCGTGCACATTCAATTTGTCTTTCATAATGTTATATTGATGATACGATTTTCTCATTTCATATAAAATTGGGCATGCTATTGTTAAATATTATAGCAATCCTGAAAATCCAGTGATATATCTTTCATGATAGTAAAATTTTCATTGTAGGATTTTTTTTTGTTACTTCTCTATTTTTACTTAAATATGGTTGAGCAATATTTGGCTTGTCTGGAGGTAGACGGGAGGTTTGCTTGTCTGGAGTTTGAATTGGGGTTCTTTTAGGAGCATTGAAAGTTGAAGGGGGTTTCCTGATAACCCCTAAACTTAAAGGGAGGTATGTCTGAAAGTTATGTGGGGTTATTTGATAATTGTCCAAAGTGGGGTTTTCTAATGTTTAGCCTTTGATTGGTTTAAAGTTTTAGAGAGGATTGAAGTTGATTTGGGCGGAGAGACTAAATTTGTGGCAGTCTAGGGAGATGCTAAGATATGCATTCTCAAGGAATCCTGGGGTTTATAGCCAACAATGAAAATTGACCATTTTTTGGTCGACATTCGTAGAGTGTGCATCACAATTACAAAGAAATGGAACAAAAAAAAAATGCAGATGCAGAAAGTTGATAACTCATAATGAGTTTACTCATCAAAGTTCTCTCTTGTATCATTTTATTAGAGTACTTTTTTTAATTTCTCAAGTAAATCGTCTGTTCACTTTGTAAATATCTCATCGCTTCTCATCTTTACGTTGCAATATTTTAGCCTACTTGTCACAACAAATTAGAATAGTCAATGAGCTAAGATAATTATGTGCCCATCATGGGGCTCAACATGAGTTGGTCCTCCACATGCTACATTTGGTTACGCTATCAAGAATAGGTTGTTTGCGCTTTTGAATAAATTTTTATTTTTTTACCAGTGAGTGTATTTTATGTATATCCTACATCATCCATCTAATCAATTTCCTCGACGTTCCTAACTTCCATCACCAAAACTGCTTAATACTTGTTGGAACCACCTCACAACAAATTGCTAGAAGAAACGAATCTCATCGTCTTGCTTGCTTATTTTAGATTTCAGATATCTTCACTTCAATAGTTGACTGAAATACAAATTACTTATGATTGTTACCCTCAGCCACCCTGACGTCCGCTACTTGTTAGGGGCGTATTATTTGTTTTCTATCGAAGCTTAGCGTCATGAATACTTATGGTGCTCGTCACTGCTTGATTATTATGTATTTTCCATGAAAAAGCTTAGTGGCATGAACGTTACTCAGCTTGGTAGTATTTATTTGAGTTTTGCTACAGGGACCTAAAATATGGGAGCAACGGGGAGACATGTGAGGTCTCTCTCTCCTATTACATAATAAGCTGGTCATCATTAATGATGATCAGCTCATTATGCAATTGGAGAGGACACATCATGTGTTTCTCATGTTAGTTCCATATTTTGACTCCTTAGAGAATTCCTCTATTTAGTTTTTGCCCGGGCCCACGTAAAGCTCTCCCAGGTTCGATCCTGGATCAGGACGTGAAGATTAAGGGTAGAAATGGAAATTTCTGTAACTGATTAATTTATTGCGGATTTAGTTGCGCGCTGAGATCGGGGCTCGGTGGCCCCCCCTTAACTTACCGCTAGCGACGCCCGCGTGTCCTCGATCCAAATAACTCCTGCAGTTCCGGAAACACCCTTAATGTTTCCATTAGCGGACAGTGGTGTCTGAGATTATGAAAGCGCTCTCCATTTCTCTATTTTGTCCTTTTTTGGATTATAATTTAAAGAAGCGTCAGCTTTTTGCTGGCAGTTGTCTCATTTTGTTTAGGATTAGTTGCAAATGACCCGTGTGCTGTGGTCCAATTGTGCATGGACCCTTTTTTAGTTCTATTGGTGTTTGGTGTGATGGAACTCTTTATTATTTATACCCACCAAATGCGGATAGATCCAACGAGGAACCTTTTTTAAAAAAAAAAGTTATTATTAATTTTACTCATTTAATAGAAAAAACTTCACTCAGGCGTCTATAGCACAAATAAAATTATATAGAGAGGTACATCTGCACTCTGGCTATAATGTAGAGGGTCCATCTGAAGTTGACACTTTTATATGTTTGGTGGTTTTATACTATTGTTTCTTGGTTTGAGATTTGGGTGGTCCCCATGCTTCTTCACATGACACGCTGCCAAATCGAAAAAGATGAAGGAGAAAATGGTTTAGCTATGATTATCGAGATTAGAGCATGCAGATTCATTGCGATACGATGAGATCAATGATTAAGATTAATGATAAAGATTAATGAAGCTAAAAGTGAGTGGTTTTAGTATGAGATTCTTGACTTGAACATTTGTATGGTAATAGACTTTCAACCCTTAATAATTTAATTTATAAGATCAGAATCCGTATGTATCATCATATAATAGCATCAGCCATCTTTCTCTAATCCGAAAGAATGAACAAGTCGTAACAACTAAGGGTGCTAAACCGTATCCGCATCTGAGCAAATATCCGTAACCATATCCGATAAGGTTCGAATATGGTGACACCAATCTATAACCCATAGAATATGGCTACAGATATGGTTTTGTAGTGAAATATCCAGATTTGTATTCGAAATATCCAAATATATACTAGTCATATTGTTATGATAGTTTTAATAGTTAGATTTTGGATTTGAGGTTAGTTTTGACGATTAAGATGTATAATATTAGCTTTTTAGATATAATGAACATATTAATGAACTCTTTTGTATCAACTATATTTTTTTAATATTATCTAGTTTTTTCATATTCGTTTTGTATCCATCTGCATATCTGCTTATACATTCGCATATATATTCGTATCCGTATCCGATTCTAACAGATATGGAGATGAATTTTCCTTACAGAGATATATTTATATTCGTGTCCGAGATAATTAAGCGGATATGGATATGATAAGTATTATATCCGAGACATATCCGGTGCTTGTTTTTTCTGCTCCCTTTTTTGCCCTTTCTTAAGAAATATAAGATATATAAAATAGTGATAAGTACATCAGGCCGTATTCATAAAATATAGTACATGACTGCTCAAACTGAACGCCAAGCAAATTTTAATCACGGTCTAACCATCATCCAGTTGTCGTTTTCCTTGGGCCCTTCTTTTTCGGTTACCTTGGGCCCACTGAAGTGGAGGCCTCTCAGATTCGATCGAGGGCCGAGGACTGCGATGTAAAATATAGTACTTGATTAGTTGATTTACTGTTTTTAATTTCCTCCCCAGATTTATCTGTGAAGATTTTCGTTTTGCACGGGATTGGGGTTGGTGGTCCCCACAATCACAGATCACAAATTGCATAAAACACAAGACGTTTTCTACAGTTCCAAAAATGCCCTCAGTCTTTTCATTATTGGACAGGGTTGTCCGAGATAAGGAAGGAATTCTTTTTTGAATAATTTAAGGAAGGAAACACTTTGTAAGTTGATAGTCATGTTAATTTAAGCGATTCTTTTGTCTTAAAGACTTATACGCTCCCCATGCTTCACATGCACTCTTCAAGGCAGAAAATATTTTTTGAGGAAAAAAAATTTGTTCGATTCTTTGGATTAGTTAGTTTGTACTTTGTAGTACAACTGTAGATTTCCACCATCGGAGTTTAATTGCATGATCCATGGGAATATGCTGGTATGAATTGTAATGATAAAATAAGAATAAATGAGCTAATAAACTAGAGCTTTGTTACAGTGTCCCAAAATATGAAACCAAAATGTTACAGGTGAGGTGTCCCTCTCCTATTGCATAATGAGCTGGTCATCATTAATGATGATCAGCTCATTATGCAATAGGGGAATAGGAGGGGGACGTCTCACATGTCCTCCCTGTTGGTCTCATATTTTGGGTCATTGGGGAATTTTTTAATAAATTATTGGACTTTAGAATCTGAAGTCAATCGGTGTTTGATGTAATGATGAGAAGAAGTACATGTACACGCTTCAAGGGCTTGATGAAGATATTATTTAGTTAATAAAGATTTATTTTAGTTTTAAAGTCAAGTACTTCATTGAAAAAGCAAGATGATTCCCCTATCTTTGTTCTTCTTTTTAGTTTGTGGGTTTATTTTTTGGTTGGTTGGGTGGGGGTTAATGGAATCCCCCATACTTTATTCTTAAAAGCTTTGGGATGAATTTTACATAGGATACGCAGTAAGATTTTCAATATCACAAATAATGATTTGACCATACTGATTTTCAAGTCTATTAGAGGTTTTCAAAATCATAGTGATTTTTTGACATAATAATGAAAACATTGCATGATGTAAAGGTATTACTCTTGTAGATCATCTTAAAAAAAGTGTAGCTAGCGTACGCATATGGTCTAGCGTCGTGGGCTGCAGTGGTAATACTGCCCTCAAACCCTAGGTTGCGGTTCAAATCGTCTGAGATTACTTGGTAGTGGGCGCAGGGTAGGTGGGCCCCACTTACCATGGGGTTGTCTTGGTTTTTTTTGGTAGGGGGGAGGGGGTGGGGGGACTCGAACCTGGGGTACTCCTTTGAGTATCCTCCTACCACACCAAGGTTCCCCGTTATCGAAAAAGCAAATTAAATTGACCGAGGATTATGTTAACTAACTTTTTATCCTATGAATTTATTAGGGCAAAATGGTCAGATTGACATATTTTTTCGAGGCTTGGTACCATGTTGGTATATTTTCTTTTAGTTTTGTCAGATTGGTATGTTTTTTTTAACTCCGGCGTCATATAGGCCTTAAATTTGGTCAGGGTTACTGTTCCGGCGAAATTTAGTTACTGTTCCGACCAAAAATCCCATCAGCCCTGGTAGGAACAGTAACTCCGATCAAATTTAACGTCTGTATGATGCCGGAGTTGAAAAAAATATAACAATCTGACAAAACTAAAAGAAAATATATCAACATGTCACCAAGCCTCAAAAAAACATGCCAATCTGACCATTTTGCCAATTTATTAGTCTCACATATACGCTGATCTGAGATGCACACGAAGACCGTCTTTGCGTTGCCTACCTTGATGTGCATCATAGACTACATGCGTAAAGAGATTAAAAAAGAAATCGGCAGATGGGGAGCTCGCTCACGACCTTTTCAAGAAAGTAACGGCAGAAAAGGCCATCGTGGGAAACGACGGGGGCAAAATAGTAACTCCGCGATCAGATAGTTTACGCTCTCATCGCACGGATTTGATCTTAATTTCCTTTTTTTTTTTTTCCTTTTCTCTCCTCCCCCCACAAAACGGTACGTCTATTTTAATGGGCCATACGAATAGAGGAGGGGAGAGAGATCGACAGCGAGAAAGCAGCAGATCGTTGTTGCCGTTCTCTGCGACTGCTCTCTCTCTCTCTCTCTCTCTAAAACTGCTGGATTCTCTCTCTCTCTCTCTCCACTGTCCCATCTTTTTTTTTCTTGGAGCTGACGATTGAGGGAAAAGCTAGCTATATAGTGAGAGAGCTCGTCATAATTTCGATCCCTTCCTCCTCATCTTTTCGTCCGGCCCTCGTCGAAATGGGTATCTCTTTGTTCGATCTCGGATGCCCATTGACCCCCCTCTCTTCGTCTGCTCCTCCCCACAAAAAAACCGGGCCGATCTCTCGGTTTCCCTACGCTTAGATCGGTCCCTGGCTCCGATCCTCGGCCGGCCCTCTGCTTATGTTGTGTGTGGGGTTTGGGTTCCTTTCGAGGGAGAAGGGGATGATGATGATGACGACGGCTGATCTG